CTATGCATTTAACTATGTAAATTTTACCTATGTAAAAATATAAATATTAAAAATAATAAGGAAGCTCCCCACATAGCGACATGAAATGATCTGCTAGAAATATTAGAATATTTACGCATTACATAAATATATAAAAGAAAGGTACAGGGCCGGCCCGGTGGTATAGTGGTTAAGTTTGGGCACTCCGCTTGGGCAGCCCGGGCTCACAGTTTGGATCCCGGGCACGGACCTGCACATTGCTCATCAAGTCATGCTGTGGCAGTATCACACATACAAAATAGAGGAAGATGGGCACAGATGTTAGATCAGATCTAATCTTCCTCAGCAAAAAGAGGAGGACTGGCAACGGATGTTAGCTCAGAGCCAGTCTTCCTCAAAAAAAAAAAAAGAAAGAAAGAAACTTACAGAACATTATAAAAGTATGTGTGTGTGTATCTACCTATATAGACACACACATTTTGGGGTGTGTATGTGATGTGTGTGTATGTGTTTGTGTGTGTGTGTATGTCTGAAAGAAAAAACAAGAAACTGTAACATTAGCTGTCTCCAGGAAGGGGAAACCAGGTGGTTATAGAGGACAGAATTGATAAGGTGAATTACCTTAACTGAATATCCTTTTGTAAATTTTGAATTTTCTAACATATATTATGATTTTAAAAATACTTCTGAGGGAAAGAAGTGTTATGATTTTTCTAACTTATTTGAAAATATTTTTAAAATAACATGAAGTAAATATGGTGAAATGTTGATAATGGTGGAACTTGGGTTCCCAGTATCTGCAAGCTCACTGTTCTTTTCTCCTTATATTCTATGTGTTTACAATGTGTTCAAAATGAAAAGTTTTATAAAATTCACAACAGAGCAAATCTTTCATTACCAAAAATAAGTGAAAATAAGTAGATTACACGTGTTTAAGAATTTATTTAAAAAAACAGAAATTCAGAAAAAAACCATATGAATAAACAAGAACAATCAAAAAAAATAAAAACACTGATAAATTATACCAAAGAGCTGATTAGGAGAGAGGGGAAGGGAGAGTTAGTGAGGCTAGAAACCCACATGTCAAACTTACTTCATTAAAAAAGGCATAGCATAAACAACCAAAACTGGAAGGAAAATGGATATTGATTGAAAGCAGAGAAATTAATAGAGTGATGAAAGAACACTCTGTGTAACTTCATGCTACTTTGTTTGAAAATCTGCTTGGATTGTGATTTTCTAGGAGAAAACAAGTTAAATATAAGATATAAAACAAAAAACAAGCAATAATAACAAAAAAAAAGTGAGAAAATTTTCTAGTTAGCCTCAGTTTTACTCCAAGCCACCAAAACCAAAAAAGAGTTCAGATGATTTCATTGATGTGTTTGCTTAACTGTTAATACTAATACTAGAGCTTTTCTACCCATTCTAGAGCACAGAGTAAGAGGAAAATCCTCAAAATTATTGAGGACAACCAGAAAACTGATATCAAAACATGACAAAAAGAGAACAAGAAAGGATTACAAATCAATTTCATTCAATATAGCATACTTGCAAAAATTCTAAATCAAGTTAAGATACTCATAATTCAGTAGTAAATCTAAAGAGTAAAACACTTTTTTACCAAATGGGGTTTGTTCATTCCAGGAATAAAAGGAAATTTCATTAATAGAAAATGAATTATTTCACAATGATATGTTTAATTAAAGAATAATACAATCGTTGATGCAAAAAGAATCTGATTACATCTGCCACCTGATTTTGATTAAAATTTTTAGCAATATTATATAAAAAGTGGGAGACTTTCCTAACATGATACAAAAATCAACTCAAATTTAAAATTAGCATGTTACATTGATAATTGAGACCACCCACATCAAAATAACTTACCTATTGGGACTAAGACCTGATACCATCCCCAGCAGTGTCTTATAAACAAGACAGAACTGCAAACAAATATGTAAATTCACAGTTTGCTCATCGACAAATAGCTCTTCTATCATTGATAACATCTAACTCACATAGGCAAACAGATCATTTATCAGACACAAATTTGGTTATCTAGACTCACATCAAGTTCCTACCTTACTCTTTCACAAACCTTAAACTACTGCATGTCAAATTCCGCCCATTCCTAACCAGTTCCGTGCCTTGAAAAGCCCTCTTCAAACGACATTAGCCCAGACCCCAAAGTCCTAATTTCCTGCTTTGAAACACTACTAAACCTTGTCAAAGTGGTGTTTTCCCTTGCTGCAGTAGGTTTAATAAACTCAGCTTTCCTTGATCATAGCTCTTTCTGGGAGTCTTTTCGGGTAAAAGACCAACAACAACGTGCTGGTCAAACCCAAGAAGCATTCCATTACAATATCATTAAATCAAGGATGGACAATATTTCCACAATCGTTTAAGTGCTCTGAAAGTCCCAGTCAGTGAATTTTACCAACATAACTAAAATGCAGATCATTTGGAAGGGGAGAATCAAAACTATCAGTATTTGCAAAGGATTTAGTATGTACTTTTAAAAAATCTGAAAAGTCATCAGAAAGGGTAAAGTGACCACTTACCCCAAAAAACAAAACAAAACTTGCAGACACTGAAAAATTATCAAGTAAGAAAATAAAGTGAAAGAAAATACCCCCATCACAAAGTGAAAATATTAACAGTAATTAAAATTATTGAATAAAAAGAAAGACATACCTCATCCTTGGATAGGAAGACATATTATTAAAAACCAATTCTCTCCTATATTAATTTATTAAAGTTGATGAAATTGCAGTCTAAACTGTAATTTCTTCCAACCAGAAGACACATGAGACAAGAGGCAGAAGAAGAGACACAAAGATCCACAGAACAAAAATGGAGCCAGTCACAGGTGAGAATACAGCATATGTGCAAGATGGCATTACAGATAAATGGGCAATTATTGGCAAATAATCGCAAGTCATGGCAAATAACTTGGCAACTTTAAGATTTCAAATCAAAAAAATTTCTCATGATATAAGAATTTGAATTAAAAAAACACAAAAGAATTAGAAGTTAACATAGGTGAAGGGTTTTATGGAATCAGTATAAATATCCTTCCAAAATGACATGAAACTTAGAAGTCATAGAAGCGAACATGGTTATACTTAGACATATAACAATCATACACATTCTTATACCAAAAATGAAGTTTAAAAGTGTGTAAAAAATATCTGTAATGCTTGACAATCCAAAGCTTATTCCCCCAATAATAAATGAGCTCTTCAAAATCAGGAAGAGATTAAAACCTCCCCCCATCCCCAAAATCAGACATAAAGAGGAAATTAAAAAATACAGATGGCTAATAACATATGAAAAAATGATCAAACTCAAAAACAAAAGAAATACAGTTTAAGACAATAGTTTGGGCTATCACATTGGAAAATATTTTAAATATTTATAAAATCCATTATCTGTGAGGCTGTGGGAAAGCTGGCAATCTTATTCATTGCCATTTGAGGATAAGTTGTTACCATATTTTTAAGGAAATCTTGTAATAATTTTCAAAATTTGAAATGTGCATATCCTTAATCCCAGTATTTCAACTGTTAAGTAATTTATTATGATATAATAGACAAATGCAAAATTACTAATATAGAGGGAGGTTCACTGCACAGAAATTTGGTGCTAACATAAATATCTATGAATGAGAAATGCTTAAAACATTTAATTATATTTGACCTACAAAACAGTCATGCAGTCATTCAACAAATGACACAGATGTGTATTACTTAAATAGAAAAAGTGCACTGAAAAGACTGTTAAATGAAAGGCAATTTGCAGAAGGATATGTACAATATGGCCCCACTTCCAGAACCCCCCAAAAATAGCTTGCGCGTGTGTGTGTGCATCTATCCACTTAAAGAATGCACACAACTACCTTAATAGAGAAAAACTCTGGGGGATAGAATTGGGAGAGAGGAGGGCACTTAATTTATATATTAGATATTTAGATATGCTTTGAATTTTTGAAAAAATTCATGCAATTTCTTTTTAATATATCCTATTTTTAAAATTCACCACATGGCAAATGAAAATCATAAATGTATATTTATGGGAGCACTGAGCAATTCCATCATTTTGAGTTTCTTGTGCAATAATATTTCCTCTATTGAGGCTCCTGGGATTGAGTCAAGTGGCAGCAAGGGAAACAGTCACCATGCCCAAATTAAAGTCTCATCGATGATATCCCAATATGAGCATTTCTCAGTTAAGCATTTCTTATCTGCAGGAGGTGTCCACTGCAACACAGGAAAGAGAGGAGTCTCCATGCATAAGGAGGACTGTATCATTGTTCTGGTGAAGCTGGTGATAGAAGTAATGGCTTCCACAGTAACAAATCCACCTCACCTTTGAGGTTGTCACCTGCAAGGAGACAGTGGGGAAAACTGGCATAAGTGAGGAACACATTTTGTAAGAAGCTTGTCAGAAGGCTATGAAATCTTTGTACATTCTTCTTCTACATGTGCTGAAACAAATCTACCCAGAGTACACAGAGAAAGCCACATTTTAAGCAGCTGGGTCCATGATGTGGCCAGAAAAATGACTTCAAAACTTCCTGAAATCAAGGATGCCAAACATTGATGCTACTTTTTCTCCTTCACTGGGCTAAAAAGTGATGGACATCTCCAGCTATCTCAGATTCTTATCTGTCTCCTCCCCCCTGTATTTGGCTCCTTAAAGATTTATGTCACTCATTCATTTGATCAATTATTTCAGACAAAACTACTTGTCTGCCCACTAGTCTAACAGTTATTGAGAACCTACTGTATCTCATGCATACAATAATTCTCTGGATACACAATGGATCCAGCCAAGGAGGAATTGTTTATTAGATCAGAAAAGCTGTATTTCTTAACTCATTACGCACTCTGGGCCTTGGAATCAATTAGAATGTAAACAAAAGTCATCAATCCTCAGATAATTAACATCTGATTCTCTTCCCAGACATGGTTGCTCCTAGAAAGCAAGAACTATTCTGACAAAAACCTTACCTTCAGAGGATGGCCCTTGGACAACAGGTAAGCGAAAAGGCTCTTTGTCTGAAAAGTCTTGTTTCAGGGATTTACTGGTATCATTCACTACCAAAAGAGTTCCCACGAAGTCATCTTCTGAGGGGAAAAACATCAGAAACACCACTTCCAATGAAAAAGGCCAGTCAGCTAGAAGCTGGGAAGTCACTCTTTAGTACTCCTTCATATCTATTTCATTTGGAAGCTGTTTCTTACTCTGTTACACAGCTCTGAAACACAGCTAGCAGCTCCATAACTCTAAACATTCCAATATCAGCACATTGCATCAGAGCTCGTCTCTCTTGTGCAATTCTAAAACCAACTGGATTGCCTGAATCCCACTGAAAATTATGTCTCTTTTTTCATCATTTACCTTTTTCTGCTTAGTTGGCCACGTTATTTACAAAATCACTCAAAATAATCTACTGATATATCTATTCTCAATAAGAGTTTATTGAGAACCTATTCTATGCCTGGCAATCCATAAGGTGCTTGTGTCACAAAAATGGACTGAAAAACATCAGGCCATAAGAAATTAAAAGCCCATTTGATAAATCAATCATACAAATAAAGAGCCAAGAAGTAACTTAGTAAATGGTCTTACAGAGATAGATTCAGTTTTAGGATGGAATTGTTGAGGAAAGAACCCCATTTAGGAAGACTTATTATGACCCACAGCAGTAATACTCAATTACTGGGCCCACTTTCATTTGGCTCTTAAATGGGTTTTTAATGTTATTTAACTACAACCAAATGTCATTAAGCTTAAGAAGAACACGATCTATCACTCCTATCCATCCTGGGCCTTTTACTGATAAATAGGCAGTTCACTGCCCATGTAGTCATACCTGCAAGAGGGTCCAAAAGACCACCAGGAGGAATGGAGACCCACTGATTCAGAAGTAAGTTCTCAGCTCATTCTCTGGAGCTGACATTGACACTGAAGAGTTAAAGGAAAGGCATAGACAGTTTCCCTTTCCTTCTAGGCTCTATCATCACCTGACAGAAGAAAATAAAAAGGAAAAATAACATTTCAAGAACAAATAAATGCAAATATATGTACATATAAACCATACACAAACATGCATGCATGTAATCCAGTTTAACAATAAAACATTCGTGAAGTGTGGGTATCCTGTACTATACACAGACTGGGAAGGGTGGGTGTTGCTAAGTCCTTTGTGGGTCACATGTACAACCTTCAAACATGCACTGCTCTCCCTTCTCCTTGACGTTCAATAGACAGAGAGTGGCTGGCTAATAATTATTTTAGCAAGGTAAAAATATTCTAATTCTATTAAGACTAAAGTTAGGAAACACATTTTTTACTATTATACACAGATCAATGAAAACATGGTTTCTCTATTAGTATCCAGTGAAGTCCAAGGGACACTCCTAACAACTCCATTGGCAAAAGAAAATTGTTTCTAGCTTATTAATTTTCACAAGACCATCTTTAGAGAAAATACACATATCAATAATATCTAAATATCTAGAAAGATTGAATTAAACTAAATTACTTTTTTAAACAATAGTCTAATATTTGCCCCAAAGCAATAATCGAGTGAAAAGGTACATTCCTGTGCAATAATCAGAAGTGTTCTAACCATTCTTCATCTAAAAGACATCCATAAATGTAATATTTTTATCTATGGTTTTGAAGAAAGCATCTAATGTAAATCTCATTTTTAAACAACATCAATATAACTATAAAGTCTAGATGTGGTAAAATGAAGAACACATTTGATTACTATATTCACAGTATCCTCAAAAATGCACAGAACAATTGCTCATGGGATTTACTGATCTCAACTTCGCTAACTACCCAATAAACAAGTGAAAAGCTGTGTATCTCAAGGCCATGTGCTAATACTCTCCTTCTGAAGTCATCTGCAGAACACTCTATCACAAATTTTATCAAATGTATTCACAGGTTTTCTTCTATTACCATGTCAACCATTAAAATACCTTTAAATACTAGATTTATGAAAAGGTATAAAATTTTAACTTTTACATTAAAGAAAATTTAAGCAAAAAACATACAATTATTAAAACCGGCATTTGTCTTCTGAATATAAACATATTGATACAAGAACATTGTCTTCATTTCATTTTCTCGCTCCCTGACAAGTCAATAAGCAAATTTAGAAATATTTATCACAATGTGGTAGCTTACAATTCTATTTTCAAACATATTTTCCCCAAATACGTTTTCCTTTCCTTACCTAAGATTTCAACAACAGGTATTTTAAATATGTTATTTTTATATCTACATCTTTTATCATATATTGGCATACATGTAATAGCTCTGGATAACTTGTGTCCAACAGAACTTTGGTTCTTAATGAACAAAAGTTTGGAAATCTTAGGGGCCAGAGTAATGACATATCACTGTGCATACATAATTCTCTGGTCTCAGATACTAAATTTGGTCCTCAAAATTCCTGCTGGCAAATATATGGTTGTGGACCTCGACTGAGTTTTCTAAAAGTCCCAGTAGAAGATAAGCAGCCATTTCCTTCAAGGGAACTACAAAGACACACTTCTTCAGAAAATAATTGAGATCTAAGTTACGATAATGTACTGTAGAAGAGAAAGATATTAAGTGCCTCTAATTGGGAGAAGAAACACAATCTTCTAAAATCACTGTCTCTGCAAAACCTGTTACTACTGAGAGAATCTGTAGCAACTATTCTGGCTTATGTCACTCCTTATTCTTACACAGTTAGATGGCAGAAACAAGATTAATTTCCTTATACATGTACAACAGCATTTCTCAACTTTTCTTATTATCACCTGCCTGGATATCCTTTTAGACACTTTCCCCCAGTTTTTACCCCCCCTACATTTTAATACCATAGATATGCTGCATATCTGCTTATGTGCTGTGGCTGTTTGGAGGACTATGAACCACTGTAATATTTAAGATTTCTTTTCCTCCCCAAGAACTAATTTTCACTCCAAGGGCATGATATCAACTATACTGAGAACACATAGTGTACAATAATTTGAGAAAAATAACTAAATGAGTAAGGAGTGCATAGTGTTCCAGCCTGTCAGGAACTGTGTTCGGGGCAGTTTCCCCAGGACACACTGCTGAGGCCTCAGGGACATTCTCTCAATCACATACCTCATGTTCACCCAACATCATCATTCCTGAAAAGGAAGGAACTAGTCAAACACTGTTAATGACCAATGCCTTTATACTTTGAGCTAAACACAGAAATGTCAAAAATCCTAGAATCTATAGGAATGGAAACCATGGAGGACTTACCATATTATTAATGTCTATATCTGATGTGATTACGAGAGGCCTCCCAAAATAGACTAAATTATTGACTAGTTAAAACAACACACACTGGCTAGAAACATAGGAAATTTGAATGAGTGATATTATATTATCAAGGGATCTTTTGGAAAATTCATAGAGCTAAGCATTGACACCAATGAGAATCTAAATATCTATGTTGTGTTGTAGATTTTTAAGCGCAGCAAGAACCCTGCTTTCCTCCATAGCCATATCCCCCTCAAGAAAACACAATGAGACAAACAATAACACTCCTGATGGAATCTACAGACTCAATAGTGGTGCCCCCTCTTTCATTCCCAATTTTAGTGATTTATGTCTTCTTGCTTTGTTTCTTAGTTAGTCTAACTAAAGGCTTTTCAATTTCATTAATCTCTGCAGAAATGCAACTTTTGGTTTCATAGGTTTTCTCCACAGTTATTCTGGGTTTTATTTTTATGTCATTGATTTTTGCTCAAATCTTTGTACTTGATTTGGGTTTAATTTTCTATTTAGTCATTTTCGTGTTTCTTAAGGTGGAAACGTAGGTTATTTATTTAATATATTTCCTCTTTTCCAATATAGTAATTTAAAACTATAAATTTCCCTCTAAGCATGTCTTTAGCTGTATCCCATTTAGTTCTAAATGTTTTTAGTTTCTTTTATAATTTTCTCTTTGACCCATGAGTTCTGTAAAGTATGTGAATTTCCAAATATTTGGCAATTTCCAGATTTATTTCTGTTTTGATTTCTAATTTAATTGTCCTGTGGTCATAGAATACACTCTACATGATCTCAATGTTTTTAAATTCATTGAGTCCAATTTTACGACTTAGCATATGATCTATGCTGGAGAATGCTCCAAGTGTGTTTGAAAATAATTTGTGTTCTGCTGTTCTTGGGAGGAGTGTTCTATAAATACCAGGTCAAGTTGGGTGATAAGATTGCTCAAGTATGCTATACCACACTGATTTTCTAATTGGTCTGTCAATTATTAAGAAGAGGGTAATGAAGAGTCCAGTTATTCTCACTGAATTGCCTATTTATCCCTTCAGTTATGTCAGTTTTTGCTTTATGTAATTTGAGACACTGTTATAGGTGATTATGTTTATAATTTTTATATATTCCAGATTAATTAGATCTTCTATAATTATATAATATCCTTCTTAATTTCTACTAATATTTTACCTTAAAGTCTATTTTCTCTGACATCAGAATAGCCATTCCAGGTCTCTTCTGTGTATTCTTTGCATGACATAGCTTCTTCCATCCTTTTACTTTCACTATTTGTGTATTTTGTTCTAAACTGTCTCTTTTATAAATAGTGTACAACTGTTTAATTTTTTTAACGGAATCCCCCAGTTTCAGTCCTTTAAATTTAATATAATTGTCATACGATTGGATTTATGCCTGCCATTTTTCTATCTTTTCTCTAGCTATCTTACATCTTTTGGTTCCTCTGTTCATTCTTATCTGCCTTTTTTTGTATTAAATAAATATTTTCTGTAACACTATTTTAATTCCTTGGTGGCTCTTTTAACCTTTTTTGAGTTATTTGCTTAGTACTAATCCTAATGTTTACAAAATGTACCTTAAATTATCGCAATATACTTCAGAATAACACTAACTTTGTTATATGGCCTTTTATATGTCTTGAACTCAGTTCCAGAGTAATTATTTTGTCTCTCATTTTGTCCAGACATTCCAACAGATCAATTAGTGAAGACATCATTGATCCAGGCATGTTTATAAAGGTGACTATGAGCCTGAGATAGGTGACAGACACTAAACACTAAGGATTCTGTCACCAATGGACACCACAACCATGCTATTAAGTCATAGAGACCAGTAAACACAATCAGTGACCCAGTCCCATGGCTGACTAGCATAGAGAGACTCTCACTGTCATTGGAGCATGGCAATTCCCTAAAGATATATCAGTATTCTCAGGACAAAATTCTTACCTTTGTGAGAATTCACACAGGACCTTGAGGATGGAAGGTAGAATTATTCTCAATACATTCCTTCACATCTCAAAGGGAAGGAATAAACTCCTTCACATGAAACCCAGTTTTTGGTCTATGTCAACCTGTAGGAAGAGAATAAAAACAAGGCAAGATGAGAAGTAAGATGAGTCTATTTGTCAGCCATACATAAGACAGGAAAGTTCACTATGTATCTGTATATAATATATACTAATTTATTACTCTACTAGGATGTTTCTGATGTTATTCAAAAGATAGTGCAAAAATTGGGGGGAAAAAAAGACAGTGCCTCGGATCACTCACCAGATTATTAATGTCTCACACTGTTTGGATTAACAGACACTTCACAAAAGCAATAAAATTCTAAATTACTTAATAAAATAATAAAAACAATCCAGGGCCTGTCTCGTGGCATAGTGGTTAAGTGCATGTGCTCTGCTGCAGCAGCCTGGGGTTTGGATCCCAGGCGCGCACTGATGCACCGCTTGTCAAGCCATGCTGTGGCGGTGTCCCATATGAAGTGGAGGAAGATGGGCACGGATGTTAGCCCAGGACCAGTCTTCCTCAGCAAAAAAGAGGATTGGTAGATGTTAGCTCAGGGCTGATCTTCCTTACCAAAAAAAAAAAAAAAAAAAAAAATCAATAAAAAATAAAAAAATAATAAAAACAATCTAGGAATATACATTTACTAAAATTGATATTACCTCTGGAGTGCATTGTTTTGATCTTTCCCAGAGAAAGGAACCGGTGCAAGTGACAAAAACAGCACTGCTTCAGAGGGGTAGTGAGAATTCCAAGCAGCAAAATGCCCCTTCCCTCTGTTAAAAAACAAAATTCAATTGAGTAAATTTGAAGATATGATTGGCTTTATTAAATGATTCATAAATCAGGCAGCATCTCTTCTGGCAGGCAGAGAGATACTCTGAGGGGTTATACAAGATGGAAGGCTTTTATAGAAAGGAGAACAGGACAGGGAAGTCATCAGCAAGGAAAACAAGTGATGATAGTTTCTTATTGGCTGAGCCGGGGCATTTCTACTGGCTGGACTTCTTGCAGGGCAAGAAGGAAAACTTCCTCCTGCTGGAGCAGTAAAGTAGTTGTACTTCCTATTTGGGAGCGCAATGTATGTCTTTTCCTGTTGTCTCTAACTGATGGTGTAATTAACTGACTCTGTAATTGACATTTTCCTGTTTGGGGTACTTGACAATGAGTAGTACAGCATAAGAGTTCCTCTACAGGCCTTTCAGGCTCCAATTTTAGTTGAGAGATCTGAAGGTAGCCCATGGAAAAGTAGACACCCAATTACATAACAAGAGGGAACAAACACAGTGGCTACAACAAATTTCACCTGATGATCTATGGTCCTTTGATCTATTTAGCTGGTTATCTTCAGGTCTGGGCTCCTGGTTTAGAAGCATCTTGCAAACTGGGTTTGTTAGGTTGTTTTTAATTCTGCTTTGTATATTTGTTGTTATGTTATGGATGACATGCAAGGACCTGTTCGTTGGTATGGTATAGAGGTGTTAGCATCATTCAGCCAAGATTCAGATATTGTATTATTACATATTGAACGACTATCTAAATATAATGATTTTTGAAATTCCAGTGAAGATCCTTAGGGGGAACTAAGGGGTCATTCCTGTCTTGGTTTCTGATGACAAGTATAACAATTGGAGAGGTCCCCCCTCTTGCAATAGATTGGTAAATGCGGACAAGGGCATTGTCCTTCAAAGAAAAAGAGGGAGAAAATGAAGTAAGAAAAAATAGAGAGGAAAGGGTGTACAGGCCTGGTTCAGTCATCCTGGAAAAGCTGCCTCCTTCAGATGCCATCTGTTTCAATTCCTAGAAATCTTAAATTAGAGGTCACCGGACAGTGTGCAGGTCCAGATTGGGTTTGGTGCCTTCTTAAGGTGCAACACATGAATCCAAGAGTCCACTCCCTGGAGCTTGACAGCACAAGGGTTAGTCAACATTACCTGATAGGGACAGTGATAATTTCAAGAAGTTTGCGAGACTTTCGTTAAGGCTCATATAATTTGCCCAGTGAAGTGGGTACCTCAATCATTGGAGATTGTGGAAGTTATACCCTAAGTGGGAAACACATTCTCTAACAGTTTCTTTGCCACTGCGAGGGCATCAGCCTTGCAACAGGGAAAAGCCTCAACCCATCTAGAAAACATACATACAGTAACAAGAACATATTGATAAGCTATTATAAGTGGCACTTGAATGAAGTCTAGTTGCAGGTATATAAAGGGTCCAGAAAGGGGAGGTCTGAGGCCTCTGGGGACAAAAATAGTTTTTTTTTTTATGAACCCAGCAGCTACCAGCACTGCTGGTAAACTATTTTTGTAATTTTGTAGAAGTCTCTCCACCAATGTCAATCCATAATTTGAGTCATCTCAAATGAACTATGGTGAGTGAAGAAATGCAAAAACAGGAAAATGGGGTTTGCCAGGGAGCTGAGAAGAAACAAGTGGCTGTCTTGGGTTTCCCATAGCCCAACTGTTCATTTAATTTACAGCCATTGTTTACTCATCCTAATTTCTCTGACTGAGGAGCACACTGTTGTCATGTTATAAGGACATCAGAATAGCAAAAGAGTCTGATGCTACTGCCTTTGCATGAAAGTCAGTTAGGGTATTTTCTTGATACTCAAATTCAGTCCTTTTAGTATGAGTCTCAATTTTGATGACAAAGACCCAGTTCAGTTTTACGAGTTTCCTTGCTATTAGTCTTCTTGATTCTTGTGCGGGCATCAAAGTATAAATGACAAAAGACTGAAAAAAGGTTCATTATAATGCAATTGACAAAGAAATTTGGTTATTTCTGTGACACACAACATTTTAAGATAATAACCAGAATTATAACTGATAACCTTATACTAGGACACATTAGGATTTTAGGAACATCTCACAATTTCTAGAATATTTATATACCTATATAGACACAGCATAAAAAAGGATTCCAATCTTAGCCAGTCTTGACTATACATAAAATTCCTTTCCATGTTATGATCAGTGGTTTTAATTACATATATTAGAATTTTTAACCCTTAGAAACCTTTAATTTTTAGTGAAAAGTAAGAAGTAAGTGATTATAAACTGTTTTACATTAGCATTCTGTGGATTGGTTGAGTTATAAACACTTTTTACAATTTCTAGAAATATGTGCTTTCTCATAAAAAAATCCTCAGCATGAAATAAGACACATTTAACTCATAGACCCAGTTCTATCTAGTTCCTCTGTTACAAGAAGCCACAGGAGATAAATCTATGTTCAGTAATTAATTTTCAATATTTTATCTTATTAGGGAATGATCTAGATATTCCATAAGTCTCTATCATTTAATTTAACTTAGCAACACTCTAAAGTTTCAGGTTGCCAAAAAGATTTGGGAAACTTATTTGAAAAGTTCACCTAAAAATCCTTTTATTCTGTTTACATTATTTAATTTACTTGCTCTTAACAATTAGGTTTAGATTACTGTTACTACACAAAAATGGGGTTCTCCTACTTGATGTGCATAAACAAGCCAATTAATTATGGCATCAGCTTTTGGGAAAAGAATTCAGTTATATTCTGTGAGATGGATCTGCAGGGAGACAGGGAGATCTGTCTCCCTGATTCAGGATTTGGGGCAAAGTTTAAGAGGTTAGGGAGAATAGGCTGGCATGCAGAAATGCTAGTGGGACAGGTTTTGATTTGTGGGCTTCAAGCATTTATGGTAAGTTTCTGAACATTCTTTAAGCATTTATGGTGAGGTTCTAAACATTTATGATGAAGTGGGGAAGGAATTTTAACACCATATCTTCCTGAATGACAGACCCCTCGCTTCTGATTAGAGTCTGACTTTAAAGTTCTGGTCATGACCTGGTCCTTTGGTTCCGTGGGGAGGAGAATCTTTGGTTCCACGGTCATTTCAGGTCAAGTTTCTTCTTCTGTGCATCCTCTGGCTATGTGACTTTGCAAATTTTCTGAAAGAATTTCTCTATTACGCTGTTGATAAAATGGGGTCAGTTGAACTGGTCCTGGAGGGCCTGCAGTTACATTACTTATGAAAATTTCATCATACTAAGTTGTTTTTCTTGCTGACAAATTTGTAAGCCTAGGCAGAATAAAAGTATTATATTTAATGCTGATAACTCTGAAGACATGTCTGTTTTAATTAAACCAACAAACTTAAACTAGCTTTTATTTATAAAAGATTATCTTAGATTACTTGAACTTGAAAGAACATTTGGGTTAGTTTGTTTCCATATTCCTGAGAACTTTAGAATGCCCACTCCTTCTAAGTGCCTGCCTTCACACCAACTAAACAGAGCTTGTTTACAAATAAATTTTAGCAATATCTCCCAAAGGAAGAAAAATATCTCACATTTACAACATATATATATTCATATGTAGATATAGATATGTATATATGAACATACACACAAATACACAAACAGATGCAATCAGAGATCTTACAGCTTTTGTTTTTGCTAGTATTTGTGGAGAGGACATTTAAGATATTTTTTAGCGTAGGTTCCAAATACCTCCCCCCTTTCTGATGAGAAATGTTTGCATTTCAAGGAATGGTTCTTAGGTGCTCCAGAAGATGGGGATAGAAAATTTACATCACAAAGGCACAGACTAAATGCAGGACAATTATATTAGACATGTCCTGATCTTTTTAAGCGTTTTGAGAGGAATAGGTGAGGTTTGGGAATTGGCAAAAGGGTGGGTAAACTTTGAACTTCTAAAGCCACACTTTTGGCCCTGCAGAGAGTTACAAGACAAAGATAGTTGTTTCCAGTTCCCCAAAGAACTGGATTGAAGCCTGAAGGACAAAGAAGCTGTTCTGCCCTTCCAATTTCCTTACCTCCAATATTTTTCTTTCCCTCTGGGTACATAGTTTTATTTTAGCATAGGGTAGAAGGCCAAAAAAAAAATTCCTATCAGGCTCTGAATATCAGTTTCCAATTTAGCCAGATTTCTGACCTCAAAGTTATTAAATCAGGATTCAGTTGAAACAAACAGTAAATATTTCTGGCAGATCAAATAATCCCATTAATTTTAATTTTAGTTTCCCCTTGGCTGCTTAAGGAAGTAACATAGCAGTTTATCAGGAAATCCCTCAGAGTCCCATCCTCTTTGGGAGGGGCCCATATGGGGGCCTTCCCTGGAGATAGATATGAGGGCATTAGAGAAAGATTTGCATAGGACCTTTGAGTGCAATCTCTTTTCTAGTGTCCCAGCTGATCACAATTGAGACATTGACCTTTGGGCCAGTGTTTTTTTGAAGATGGACTCCTGGGGAGCGCAATGTGGGAGGCCCAGGTGTTATTTTGGGTCTCCAGCCTTGGAGCTATTGTAGCTGTATAGCTATTAGCTTGGTGGATTTCTGTTGGAGATCTTGCTCCAGGATCCTTTCAAAATGCTCAACTATAGTCATGAGTTCAGTCAGGCCTGTGGCCTCCATAGGTTTAGGAAATTCTTCGACTATAGCTCTTAGTTCTGTCTTTGACCAAGGGGTGAAGGACACCTGAGGAGGTTTGTCTACAGCCTCAGGTAGTTTTATTTTCAGTGGTAATTGTTTAATATTCTCTTCAGAGTAGAAAGGCAGTTCAGGGCCGGCCCCATGGCTTAGCGGTTAAGTGCGCACGCTCCGCTGCTGGCGGCCTGGGTTCGGATCCCAGGCGCACACTGACGCACCGCTTCTCTGGCCATGCTGAGGCCGTGTCCCACATACAGCAACTAGAAGGATGTGCAACTATGACATACAACTATCTACTGGGGCTTTGGGGGAAAAAAAAAAGGAGGAGGATTGGCAATAGATGTTAGCTCAGAGCCGGTCTTCCTCAGCAAAAAAAGAGGAGGATTAGCATGGATGTTAGCTCAGGGCTGATCTCCCTCACAAAAAAAAAACAAAAACAAAAAACAAACAAACAAAAAATAAAGAAAGGCAGTTCAGGCAGAGAATTAGTAAAAGGTGAGTACTCAGGGAAAAAAGGACAAGGGAGGCAGTAGGAGTTATATCTGTAGTGATGTCCCTTTGTGTGACTCACTTTATTGAGACATTCACTTTATTGCAGGGGTGTGGAACCAAACCTGTAATAGCTCCCAGGTATGCCTGTACCCAAGTGCGAGTTCCCTAGGATCTGTTTACTACAAGTGTATTTATGCTGCTAGCTAAGCACTCAAAGAGTTGTAATTTCACCCGCAAATTGGCTATGTATAGACCACCGTAGAATTCAATTTCTCTAATGCATGCTATCAGTTTTGCTTTCCAATACCACAGTTCTTGCTGGTACCACACAAATAAAAACACTGATCTCCCTCCGTATATATTTTGCTTAGGGTAAACATCTGTGCTGGAACTCAGGTTCACAGAAGTGATTATGTAACTCATTTTGTTCATATTTTTCAATGAGATCAATTATTACAGTAATCATTAATAGACACAAGTTTCTAAAATGCCTCACAAAGTAAAAAAAACTGAGCACTCCAAAGTTCATCACTCTGGGACATACTTATCCACCCTATTCAGTTATGAAGACCAGCCCCCACATCAATGATCCATTTTTCACAGCTGGCTATCATATACAGTGTTTATGGTAATTTGAGTATTATATAATCCCTAGAAGTATTATATAAATGCTTACCCACCTAAGAAGTCCCACTGGCCCTTGAAGATGGGCCTTTCCTTCATGTCTTATCTCAAGGGAAAGGAATAAACATTTTCATATGAAACCTGAGCTTTGTTCTTGTTGACCTATGGAAATAGAGTAAAAATACAGAATGATGAGATGTATACATGTCCATTTATCAAAAGTGCACAAGACAGGAAAGTTTATTATGTACCTTCATATCAAATATACTTATATTACTTTCCTGGGATGTTTCTGATGCTATTGAAAGGGAGAAAGCATAAAAATCTCAGAAATAAAGGAGATAAAATATCAGATGACTCACCAGATTAATTAATAACTCACATTGTCTGGATTAACAGATATATCACAAAACAAATTATCCACTTGATTACAGAAAAATATAATAAAAATAAGCCTTTAAGAGTAAATTTATTTAAAACTGCTTATTACCTTTGGAGAGCATTGTTTTGTTTCATCCCAGAAAAAGGAACAGGCAAAAGTGACAAAATCAGCACTTATTTGCTATGGTGGTGAGTGTTTCATGCTATTCCAAAATCACTTCCATTCTACAAGGCACAGAGGAAATTAAGGAAGTTGTGAAACAAAACCTTCCCAATTGAATGTTTATTGACAACAATAAGGAGTCAACCTTATTCAACCTTCAAGTGAATAGATAGTCACTTGATCATCTATGTAACTAGTAAAACTATGCTTGTTCCTTGGAAAAGGGTAGTATAGAAAATCAATTTTTCTAAGACTTTGGTCTCAAAGTTGATCCAAAGGCCCCTCTGAGCATCACTCACTGAAATTATAACTTCTCTCTAAACACATAAACACATTGAAAGAATATGAATATTAGCCAATGATATCCACATAAAATTCCAAGAATTGGAAATTTAACTATTTCTTGTTAAAAATGTTTAATAAAGTATCTAATTTACTCCATCATCATATATCTAAAAAATTTCTCCCTGAGTGAGAGGAAAAAGAAAAAAAAAGTGTTCTAATCTCTGAGACTGGGTTAGCAAGCAAATTAAAGCATATAATAAAAGAATTCAATGAATACAATCTGTCCTTCAATTTTCCTTCAATATTCAATTGAAATTGATATTCATATATCTCTTCAATATTTCTTTTGCTCAAGAGATAAATGACAAGCAAAAACTAATTTCTTTCTAATTGACTATGTAATAGACCTAAACATGCTGATCCTCACAAAAGACGTGACATTTAAGGAAATGTGTGAATGGCTCAAGTGTAGGCACACCCATTTTCTGCAGTGTTTACTACTCATTTACTGGTTCTCCCCGGTCTGTTTACTGTGGGTGCATGGATGCTGCCAGCCAAGCACTCAAAGAACTGCCATGTCATACCACCACGGTTATTTATAGCTTCTGTACAATTCATTTCTTCTAGTATATGCCAGCATGTTAATTTTCCAACACCACAGTCCCTCTTTTTCAGTATCACTTGCTGACCAAACTGAATTTCCCTCCATATTTTTTGCATAATATTTTCCCTTGTGCTGGACCTCACCTCATAGAAGTGATTTTCTCACTCATTTTGTTCAGATTCCAATGAGACCCACTTTTGAAGTCATCCTTGATCCAGGCACATTTGTAAAAGGGAGGTTGAATCTGAAATATGTGGCAGACACTGAGCACTCAGGATTCCGTCTCCCTGGGACACACTGACACACTTTATTCAATCACGGAGACCAGCCACCTACTGTCAGTGATCCAGCCTCATAGCTGACTTGTATAGCCAAAGTCTTGTGATTGGAGTGTTATGGTTCCCTGAGGGGAATGTCAGCATCTTCAGGACAAAATGCTTACCAGCATGAAAATTACCACTGGCCCTTGAGGATGGGAGGCAGAATTATTCCCAACACTTTCCTTCATTTCATAGCTCAAGGGGAAGGAATAAAAGCTTTTATATGAAACCGAGTTCTTGGTGCATGTCGATCTACTGGCATAGGGTAAAATTATGGAAAGGTGAGAAGTACACATGCTCATCTGTTAACCATGTACAATACAAGAAGTTTACTAGACACAAGTATATAAAAATACTATTTCTCTAGTAGGATCTTCTGATGTTATTCAAAACAGAGAAAGCATAAAAATCCCGCGAAAAAGTACACAGAAGCCTCAGATAACCCAGATTATTAAGGTCTCACATTGTTTGGATTAAGAGATTCTTCACAAAACCACTTGTAATCTTGTTTGCTAAAAATAAATAATAGAAATAACCCAGGAAAATGCATTTATTAAAAATGTTACCTCTGCAATGTTAACTCTGGAGTGTACTGTTCTGATCATTCCTGTAGAAGGGAGCTGGTACAAGTGACACAATCAGCAGTTCATTGGAACAGTGGTGGGATTTCCAACCAACTCCAATATTGACTCTAATTTATAAAATATATTGGAAAATTAGGGAATTTGACAAACAATACCATCATAACTGAAAGTTTACTAATAATAGGTTATATAGAATAAAACATAGATATTCACTTGACTGTATAACAAGAAAAATTATGCTCGCTACTTGGAACAGGGTAGCATTGAAGGTCATAGCATCTTGGTCTCAAAGTTTCCCGAAAGGCCTTCCTCAGCATCAGGCATTAAAACTAGGATCACTAACTATGAAACATACTAATAAAATATGAATATTAGGCAATGAAATCTACCTGAAATACCAAAAATTGGAAATGTAATCATTTTATAATTAAAAATGTTTAATATAGTATCTACTTGAATCCATAACTTAAATGTCTAGAACATTTTTCTTTGGGAAACTTTCTCAGGGGAAAAGAAAAAACTGTTCCAATTCCTGTGACTTGGTCAGCAAGGAAATTAAAACATATTTTAAGACATTTTCACAAATAGAAACTATTCTTCAATTTTGATGTTTCTTTTACTTAAGAGATAAATAAGTAAACACTTATATCTTCTGCCTTGACTACCTAATTGACCTTAATAGATGGCTCCTCACTTGGAAGATTTTGGCACCTAAGAAAAATGTGTGACCAGTTCAAAGGCAGGTGTAACCATTTACCCCTGTCTCTCTACTCATGTGCTGGTTCTCCAGGGTCTGATTACTATGAGTGAATGAATGCTGCCAGCCAAGCACTGAAAGAGTTGCCATGTCATCCCTAAATCAGACAGTTATCGACCTCTATACAATTCATTTCCCCTACCGTATGCAATCAGGATGGCGTTCAATTACTCTAGTCCCTATTGGTACCACCAGCTAAACAAACTGAACCCCTCTCCCCATTTCTGTCTAGCATGGCCCCTTGTGCTGGACCTCAGCTCACAGAAGTGATTTTGTCACTCATTTTGTTCAGATTCTAACAAGATCCATTTTTGAAGTCATCACTGATCCAGGCACATTTGTACAAGGGATTATGATCCTGAGATATGTCACAGACACTGAACACTCAGGATTCCATTACCCTGGCACATATTTAACATGGAGACCAGTCATCACAGTCAATGATCCAGCCTCATAGCTGACCAGCATAGCCAGAGTCTTACTGTCATAGAGTGTTACAATGTGCTCAGAGGAATGCAGTATCTCCAGGACAAAATGCTTACTGGTGTTAGAATTCCTACTGGCTCTTGAGGATGAGATAGAATTATTCCCAATACTTTCCTTCTTGTCACATCTCAAGAGGAGGGAATGATTTTTTTTTTCATATGAAACCAAGGTCTTAGTTCACATCAATCTGCGGAAATAGAGTGAAAATACGGAAATATGAGAAGTATACACGTCCATTTGTCAACCATGGAAAAGACTGGATGGTTCACCACATATCCGCACATAAGATATACTAATTTATTACTCTACTAGACTTTTTCCATCATTACTCAGAAAAGAGGAAGTGCAAAATTCCTAGAAATAAATGAGACAGAAGCCTCTGATGACTCACCAGATTATTAATATCTCACACTGTTTAGATTTATAGACTTTTCACAAAGCTAATTACATTATTGATTACTTAAAAAAACAAAAATAATCCATGAAAAATAAATTTATTAAAAATTGTAATGTTACCTCAGGATATCAGTGTTCTGATCATTTCCAGCAAAAGAAATTTGTACAAGTGACAACATCAGCACTTCCAATGTTGTGGTAGGAAAGAATTGCAATGTCATTCCAGTTGTCAGCCAGGCAATGTCATTTCAAAGCTACAAAGCATGGAGAAGTTAGGGAAGTTGAAGAAGAAAACCTTCCTAATTGAATGTTTATTATTAACAAGTTACAAGAAATTAACCATAGATATGCACTTGACAATCTACAAGACAAGAAAATTATACTCAGTGCCTGAAACAGAGCAGTATAGAAAGTCATTTTTTATAAGACATTGGTGTCAAAGTTTCCCCAACAGTCCCACTGAGCATCATTCATTACAACTATAATTCCCCTCTTCTTTTTTTTTTTCCTTAATTTTTTATTTATTGCAGTAACATTGGGTTATAACATTGTATAAATTTCAGGTGTACATCATTATACTTCTATTTCTGCACAGATTACATCATGTTCACCACCCCAATACTAATTACAACCCATCTCCACACACATGTGCCGAATTATCCCTTTC